AAAAGTTTGATGGATTTGATTTCAGTTTCTAGAAGATACAGATTGAAGATTATCTGTATCTATAGAAGCTCAAAGATCAGTAGGCTTTAGGATTGATCCAGTTGATGCTGTCAAAAAACGTGGCATTCAAATCATCACGGAGAAGACAACATTGGATCTGTTGAAGGCGTTGTCGAAAAATATGTACAAAAAATCGTCGAATATGAATAAGGTGTATTTGATGCGAAGATTGTTTAATCTACAAATGTCTAAAAGTGGATCTGTTGCAGATCATATAAATAATTCAATATGATTGTAAGTCAACTGAGTTCGGTGGAAATTAATTTCGAAGATGAAATTAAAGTATTGATTTTGATGTCATCTTTTCCTAAGTCTTGGGATACTTTGCTTGTAACGACCCAAAATTTTCTACTTAATTTAACGTCGCTACTGTATACGTACCATAAACATTGAATGTGGAAGACTTCATTTAAATTCCATAAAACATAACCTTTAACTTAAAACACAGCCATGGACTTATGTGTTTCGAAAACATCTTTAAAATTACACAACAAAAGACTCGAAATAAAATAAATGAGCATTTAAGTTTAAAACATTCTATTCTATCTTAAGTCTAAGAAAATAAATGCCACTATCCTATGCATGTGTCATGATCTCGAGTTGCGATGCCGTCGTCAGCGTACAGGAATGCCTTGCCTTAACCTGGAAAATGTAGTAGCACATGGCTTGAGTATTTAAAGAAATACTCAGTAAGTGACTCCACTATTGGGGTTAAATGCAACAATCACATGCAATAAAATGATGGGACCTATCTTTCGTTTCGTTTCGTTTTCGTTTCATTTTTTTTCATTTTTCCTATGGTGTAATCCTAACAGGTAATCGTGGACGTGTACCATATACTCTACACGCAGCCCATACGTGCGAGTATGGGCTCACCAGCTAGTTCGCACACCACTGGACCATTGTCCCTAGCCGGTGGGCATACTCTAGGAGCCCCTTATACCGGTACCCGTTAAAACTAGAACCGTCACAGCAGCGCTATGCAAAGCATAATGATCGTTGTCCTACCATTGGATGTACGCGTCCGTACCCTCGTGATGGGATAGGGGTATCCCCCCAAATGCATGAACACACAATATGCAGAGGTCCCACTAGTCCTACCGTTATCATTAATGAACATAACCCCCTGTCACGTTTTCATGCTGACATGTCATTCTCATTCTCATTTCTTTACATATCATACATATTTCTAGCGGGGTTATGTTTCATGCAACTTACCGTATTTCATGTCATACAATTCATGCAGTTCCATTCAAATATTCATACAAACAAGACATAATCGTTCAAGGACCACACATCGTCACATGCATAACATATCACATCAGACTAAAAGCAGCATACATTCACGTTCACATAACTACGTACTTAAGCACAATAATCTAGCATTCAATGTACCATATCATAAACAAGTCATAACGTAAACACTTCATAGTCATATCGTTCTCTAACTTACCATAACGCTATCGTTCTATCAATCTATCACAAACTTATCCCTTTCTACCCATAACCTAACCGTATTCTTTCATCAATCTCTCCTATCCATAGCACTCCGGTATGTAACCTAACCTTAACGTTTCATGAACGTATCTTACTTCTATCGTTACATTTCGTTTTGTGCATCATTCTCGTATCCTATCTCAAACATATCCTTGAGCACATCGTACCATAATTATTATCATATAAACCACATATAATAACATAACATAACATATAGAAAGCATATCGATCCACAGACAATTCACATATATCAATATATATGACACATGCAGAACCATAGGGCACGTGTCAACATCAAATATAACCATGCCGATAGTAAGGTCACTTACCTGGCTCGTTTAAGTCATTGTCACAAATATATCTTTAATGAAAGTTCGATTCTGTCCTTTGAAATCCGAGTCAACCTATATGAGCTCAAGACATCAGTTTCAAGTTTGAACTCTAAAATTATTTCCCTAATTTACATTGGCCATAGTAAAATTCTGATGTTTTCTGTTAGACAAAATTTAAATAACGTCACTACCCTCCCTCTAATAAAAATTGTGATCTATTCTTAAATACGGTTCAACAAATCTTTCCTCAATCTCTCTTTCTCTCTAAATAGGTTTTTCAATTGTGTAAATAGATATTACTGGCCAATTTTAAGTACAGGCTAGGATCTTTTAGTTTATAGATTTGTCACCTAAAATTTTATTGAATCTAACCTTATAACCTTATTTCTTATTTCGTATAATTAAAATGCTAACAAAAATCTAATAATTGTATATGGGATCTGATTATTACTGTTATAGGAAAGAAGATTTGATCTAAATTAATTTCTATTGAATCTAACCTTATAACCTTATTTCGTATAATTAAAATACTAACAAAAATCTAATAATTGTATATGGGATATGAGATCTGATTATTACGAAGATTTGATCGTAAATTAATTTCTTATAACCATACCTATGTAGGAAAAGGAAATGTGAGATATGATTTTACGTAATAACTGACAAAAATCTCTAAATCTGCAATCTGTTGAAAGCCATTGTACTTTTTCTAAAATCTGACCATTGTTGTTTTTCTATTTTTTTTGTTGCAGTTGGGATGGGTCAAGGAGAGATAACTGTGGGGAGGGACGAAGAAGTTAGTGGAGAGAGGTGGGGAAAGATTTTTTTTTTTTTTTAAATTCTAATTTTAATTTTTTATTATTATTATTTTAACTTTTTTTTATTTGTTTATTTATTTTTTTGGCTATTACATTGCTACTGCTATCAGTAGTTCTCGGGAATTTAAGAAAGTGAAGTCAGATGAAATTCGAGATGTAGTTCCCAACAAAAGTATTCACAAATGAGCAAATGAGAAGTTCGATATTCATCCTTGACAAAAGAAAACGAAGTAAATTGAAGGGCCCAAACAAAAACCGATCAAAATCAAAGAACTAGAGAAAATTTTCAAATAAACCAAACGTAACATGTTGAAATTGTGGAGAAAAATGTTAATTTTGGACAGATTGTACAAGATCAAAGAGGAACCAAAACCACAAATCGGAGGATGATAATGATTCTATAAATTCCGCATAAGACATTGGGGACCTTAATGCTCAAAACCATTTATTTCCTTACGATATTATTACAATTTACTAACCTTTACATATACTTACAAACATCTTACTATTTAGGTAGTGGTTAGCTAATTTTTTTACTTTTGAAAGCTCTTATTGGAGTCTTTACTGTAAGTGCCCGTTCTACGAATTTTGGCCACCATGCGGATCTAGGCCAACTACACATTGTTTTTACTTCACCAAAGTTCTCATTAGACTACATTCCTTAACATTTGATGCTAGAGAAGAATAACGGGGTACATTTTGTTGTGTCTTTTAAATTTTCTTTTTTTTTTTACATATTGTTTTACTAGTCTCCTACGATCCATGTAAGCACTACTATAAACACAAGTTTTGAAACCTTTTTGAAGATCTAGTTCATGAGAATAACATATGGGGCACTAGTGAATCAACGACATCACAAAAACTCATTACAACCATGTCGAATTTGAACAAAATTCTCTAAAACATTGCCCTTCTTGACTATGGAACCTTTATTTATGGAAGAATACATGTTCTTCATCACTACCTTAATCATATTCTGATATTCATTATATCGCCACATGGACAAATTCTTTCACCTTAACAATAGAGCTAATGCACTCACAAAAAAAAAGTGCTCAGGGTATGAAGTCTTGGCTTATTAACTCGTGTTTGTGGCTTGCTCTATCTCAATTCTACTCAATCATTTATCTACCGTCTTAAAATCTTGAAGTGGGTTCATGACTTAGGCTATATGTTGAAATCAACCTTACATTTTGATACTAATGTGGAAAAAATCTCAAATACTTAATTCGATCTTCATTCCAATTTTCTCATTTTCTTAAAGATGACTCGTTTTCTTCCACCTACTAAATCAATGGTTTATTCAATTATGGTATAATTTTGACCTCCAAGTCACATTCTCTAAACCTTATTAAAGTGTCCAATCATTGACCTCGTTGTCCATACAACCTCAATTTGTATATTTTTTTTTTTGTATAATAGGAAATGATCATTCAAAGAGGGTTATTTACTTCAAATCCCTTTATAACACTAGGAAGAGATAAGGAAAGATGTTTAGAACATTGACTTACTGGAGGTCCGTCATGCTGGTGTAGAGAGGCCTTGATACACTAGAAAGAAAAAATGAATCACATTATATTATTGAAACATATTCATATAGGAGCAGGACAATTATCACGGATATGAAGTCTAGTTGGTTTGGGAACCATTCCTAATTGTGAATTCTCCACTCTACTCAATCTCAAATTATAGTTTCCTAAGTTTAAGGAATATCTTGAAGTCTCGTACTAGAGTTTATCTCCATAAATGCCTATAAAACTTTGAATATGATCGTAATACATTATCCAAACTATACCTAAATAACTTCAAATTATCTCATAACCTTCCTATCTTTGTTGTTCTCAAATTTAGCTTTAGACATTTTCGCTCGTGCCAAGGAGAAGAGGTTTTCTACCTTTCACTACTCCGAAAGCTCAAACTCATTGAAAGGCGCTCATGGCATTAACAAATCAATTTGTGTCAAGCGTACAATGTTGAACTTTCATACACTTTTTTTTTTATCATTTTTGAAGTTTTTGGATAATTTAGACCTAGAGATCTCGTTCTTTAACGAGGTTTTTAGATAAAATCCCAAGAAGAGTTTCCTAGGAAAGAAGGTTCTCAAGTGTACCGGCCACAAGACACATATCATCCTACAACAAACAAGTGATTCAACTAATAGAAGACAATTAAAAATTAATCCAAAATGCTATTAATAGAAAACAATTCTTGTATGGAAAATAATTAGTGGGTTTTAATAAGCTAAGAACCATGGAAAAAAAAAAAAAAAAAAAGCTAAACTATTGTGTTGAATATATGTGTATACTAAATTATATTAAAAGTTGCTGAATGAGTATCAATATCTCAAATGCATGCATTAACGATACCCAGCAGCAAGTCCTCAGTTTGCTGCGCTGTTGACGTACAAATTCCCTATTCAATGAAATATCCAAATCATAATTAGTCCTTCCACCCAAACCACCATATAAATTAAGAACACGAAGATTTAAAAATTTGTAAAATTTAAGAATTGTTGTTGAAAGCAAGCACTTACATTGATAAGGGTGGTCACAAGAACAGCTCCTTGTACGGTTGTGACACTAGTGTCAGTGAGCTCAAACCCTACAGAATTCATGGCTTGAATTAATTTAGTGAATGCGCCTTTTCGCTTCTCGAAAAGTATTTTAATCCATAGTTTGTGTTCGTCGATTTGCGAAACGCTCACGTCTGCCTGAATATAACCTTTATTCGATTGCGTCGGGGTTGTACTATCTTGTGGTATTGTTGGCCATGGAGTTTTTTCAGCTGAGCCTTCCAATTCCACAAGCTGGTCTTTTAGAATATTAACCCTCTTCTGCAGCTGCTTGATGTACGTTATAGCATCCTCGATAATCGTTGCTTTATTCATCTATATTTATGAGACAACAAAACAAAATGGTTATGAAAGGATGCATACCGAATGAATTGAATTAATGAGGAGAGTTGTGGGACGTTGCATTTGTGATGATTGGAACGGTGGCGCGAAGTAATAGTAGCCTATCGCTGAGTTTCTGTCTCCGTCGTCTCTCTGCATGGAGGTTTTTTGATTTGTATTCGATGGATTCGTCGGTGGGTCGGCGTCGGTTTGTTATCGATCTTGTATCGGCTTGTTCTTCGAAGGTGCGTAAGTCGTCGGATCCAGAGGAAGCATAAGCCATGTTGATGGTGTCTAGAATGAAGATGAAGAAGTTAGGTATGGAAGGACAGTCCACATTTGAATGAGACAGAATCTTGGTGGTTAGAATGTTATGATGGGCGCGATTTTCATTTCATGTTGGTGAAGAGACAGGCGCGGGGTAAATGGGAAAACAGTTTTGTGGAGAGAATATTTTGGTTCCTATTACAAATGCATGATTCAAGTACTCTTCTTCAACACATTTTAGCATAAGTTTTACATATTTTTTAAATTTTGACAATACTATATGTACATAACCACTCCAATAATGTCTTTTTTACAATATTATAACACTTGGGATTCAAAAAAAAAAAACTAAAAAAAACTAAAACTGAACCAACCAAATTCAATCGGTACGGATGGTTTGGTTTTAATTTAGTATTTAGTATTTCTTGTTGCGCAAAAGTTTCTATGATTCTCAAACGACTAGATCTTTGTTTGTATCCATGGTGATTACCCATTTAGTTCATGAAGGTGTTCTCATAGTATACAAAAGAGAAAGAGGTCTTTTAGAATCCACTCAAGTATATACATAGGCTTTGAGCTCATCATTAAGGTGTTTAGCTAAGGATAACTCTGTGTACGAATAATTAGAGATTTCTCTGCTGTATGATCTATAGTTACTCGAAAAAGTTTGTCTGTAGATTTGTTATGTTATGTATATGGGAATGTACTCGTGCATATTATGACTAGAAATATGTTCTCCTATATATTTTGAGGTTGCTTGAAGCATATTAAAACCAAATATTGTTTTATTGTGCATGTTGAGATTACTCTTTATAAGCATGATAAGAGATTTAAATACGAGTTTAGTGATAGTTTTTACTGACAAGTGATAGTTTAGTGTAACAGTTGAGTTAGATATATACAAATTTTTCGATATTTTCTTTTAAAATTTAAACGTGAGGGTTTTAGAGGACAAATTTAAATCCGTTATAAAAGAGAAAATTGATTAAAAAGTTGACAGGAATCCAAGCAAAATACATTACCTTATGAGTTACCATTGTTGAATATTGAGAGAGAAAAAGGAGGGAGAGAAAAAATATGTAGGAAAATAATCATTACCTTTCAGATCTGACATGTTTTGAGTGCTTTTTGGATGAGAATCTCTAACGAAAGTTGCTCAAAATTCTTTAAAACATTTCAAAGGGACTTCAAAGTGCCTAAGAAATTCATTTAAACCACAATGTTAACAAAAAGAGCAGGAAAAAAAAAATAGAAACAATCAAACGAGCAGAAATAGAAGCAACAAAAATTTAAATAAAACAAAGCAAACACCGAACCTAACCTTCCTCCCGGACGTGAAGAAGACATTGCATGGTAGTACTCTTCGTCTGAAAGTTCACCAATTCAGAGCGTTTCTCATCTCAATTCTTTCCTGAAATTTAAAGATAAATTATCAAGAAAGAGTTTGGGATTGGTATCTCACCTGTTTGTGATCAACCGGGTAAGTTATAGGAGTCTAAGGTAGGGGAAATCTTGTTTTGTCGTCGGAGCAAACCCAAGAGATATTGTTATTGGTTACGACGATCCAGACGCTATTAGGCCATACCTCCTTCACAAAAATTCTTTCTTATACTTCACTTAAATTACAAGGATGATCTTGAGAAAACGTTTGAGTATGGCTGAGGCGAATTTTGAGTTTCTTTTCTTGGTCTGCAACTCAACTTAGAACGTGTTTTTCCCCTTTATTGAATAGCTCGACTTAAGTTGTATTAGGGTCTTGACTCCTTCATAAAAACAAAATCCATTTAGTCCCTTTAAACTATTGGAATCATTAATTTTGGGCATTAAGTGTCGTAAGCAGGAATTTGAGTTTCTTCCCCAAATTTTACCTGATATCAAATTTATTCGATTACACACGTTCCTTAGGTCGTCTCCCTTTGCGGCCTTCTTTGAAAATTGTCCTTAAGTATGCAGAAATTGATTGGGATAGGTCTCGTCTGGTGAATATGTTTATAGCCTCGGATTGGATTTCGAGCTCTCCTTTGAGCTTCCTTCAATAATGGACAGAGTTGGGGGAATAAGATAGGGGCATTTTTGAAGCTTCCTTCCTTCACAAAACTTATGGGTAATCTTTCTTAGAACATGTAGGAACAAGTTTGAAAAGGAAAGATGGACTGTAGTTTCTAAATTTGAGGTTAATCTGAGAAAGATACTCAAAATCTAAACGCTCGTAACTCTTGATTGAGGTCTCGATTGAACTTGTTTCATGCTCCTATTAATTGTCTTTGCTTCATAATTTATAGATCAATGACCCACCATCATTGGAACGTCCCGAATCGCCACAATTTAATTCTTGAGTTTTATGGATCATTAGCCAACATTATCTATTTGGACGAGGGTCTTATTGACCTTAGTTTTGAATTCTAGCCGTTGAATTTGATGAGTTGTAAGTGTTCTAGATCATATTCAATTTTGTAGAAGATCGATTTGAGTATCCAAGAATTTTGTGTAGATGATCACAGTAGATAATTTAATTCTGGCCTTAGAGTCATTTTTGTAATTATCCATTCTTTTCATGGTATTTTGATAAATTACCATTTTTTACTATTTAAATATTATTTTCTTGAAAATCGAGAATTTTCTCAAAATTTCTACCACCCTTCCTTCAAAATTTCTAGTTTCCCCTTCTTCACCATCTTAAAAATCTCACTCAAGAAAATGTTAAAAATCAGATAAGTTTGATAAAAATTAGAAAATTCCATTTTCTCATTTTCTTTTCCAATTTTTCTTATTTCTTTGTTTTCCAAACCTCATACCAATTAATGAAGTATAAACTACCCTTTTTTTAGAGTGTTTAAGCTCTCAGGTGCTACAAATGTTATTTTTGACTGAACAATTCAGCGAGCAAGGAAATCCTTGATGAAGAAAAAATTGGCGAAGAAATTGTTGAGAGAAGAAAAACATAAAAGCTGAAGAAAATAAAGGAAGAGTACGGAAGCTTTAGAATTTGTTGCTGAAAAAAGCAAATATTTCTCATTTAATTTGTCTCTTTAAAAGAGATTACATTCCAAAATTGGCCAAAGTTGCCCACCAATCTGGTGCATAAAGTTGGCAAATGGACAGCTAAAAATACTCTCCTACATTATAGGTATAGGATTAATTCAGATACCGTTAAAACAAAAATCAACCGACTAAGTTTGGAAACGTGTGAATAACCTAAATAAAGAAAAAACCATAGGTTTTTTATTTAACAATAAATTCTCCCTACGTTTAAAAACTTTGGTCGTGGAGAGTGCTAGTCCTCAAACAAGTTTGGTACAAGATTCTCATATCTTCCTCTCTTTTCCAAGTGGTTTCCTCTCCTTTATGGTTGTCCCATAGGACCTAAACAAGAGCTATCTCGTTGTTCCTCAACCTTTTTACCTCCCTGTCTAGTATTTGCACTGGGTCTTCCTTATATGTTAGTTCCTTTATTAGAGAAAGCATGTCATGAGCCAACACGTGCAAATGATCTGGGATGTACTTCGGTACCATGGTTACGTGAAATATGTTATGTACCACCGACAAGTTTGGGGGTAGCGCGAGTCTATAGGCTACTGGTCTAATCCTTTCTAGTAATTCGAAAGGTCCGATAAATCTTGGACTCAGTTTCTCTTTTTTCCCAAACCTGAGCACCTCTCTCATTGGAGCCACCTTTAGGAATACATGGTCTCCCACTTCGAACTCTAATGCCTTGCATCGTAAGTCTGCGTAACTTTTTTGTCGGCTTTGTGTGGATCGTATTCTAGCTTTGATCTTTCGGACCGCAACATTAGTGATTTGTACCAGCTCTGGCTCCAATAGTTTTCATTTCCCCACTTCTTCCCAAAAGATGGGAGATCGACATCTTCATCCATAGAGTGCCTCGTATGGGGTTATTTGCATGGTGGCTTGGTAACTATTGTTATAAACGAATTCCATGAGGTGTAGATACTGTTAGGAAAACACGAAAACATGACTCTCCACAATGGTATGATATTGTCCACTTTGAGCATAAGCTCTCATGGCTTTGCTTTGGGCTTCCCCTAAAGGCCTCATCCAATGGAGATAGTATTCCTCACTTATAAGACTCACTCCCAGTAATCCTCAACAATCCTCCCCTCGAACAAAGTACACTATAAGGCTCCCCAGAAGCTTATGGAGCTCTCGAATAGCCTCCCCTTAATCGAGGCTCGACTCCTTTCTCTGGAGCCCTCAAACAAAGTACACCCTTTGTTGGACACTTTAGTCACTTTTGACTACACCTTCGAGGGTCACAATTCTTTGTTTGATATTTGAGGATTCTATTGATATGGCTAAGTTTAGGGCATGGCTCTGATACCATGTTAGGAAAATACGAAAACACGAAAACACGACTCTCCACAATGGTATGATATTGTCCACTTTGAGCATAAGCTCTCATGGCTTTGCTTTGGGCTTCCTCTAAAGGCCTCATACCAATGGAGATAGTATTCCTCACTTATAAGACTCACTCCCAATTATCCTCAACAGATACTCATCCCAACTTCCTGTGAAGTACATTACACATGCCCTTAGCATGTCTTCCAATATTTGGTTAAGTCTTTTTGTCTTATCATATGTTTGTGGGTGGAATGTTATACTGTATTTTAGTTGCGTACTCAATGCTTTCTGAAGACTCTTCTAGAAGCGAGATGTAAACCGGCATCTCGATCTGACACTATTGACATTAGAATGCCGTGTAATTGCACTATTTGCTCCATATAGAGTTGGGCCCACTTATCCACTGTGTAGGTTGTCTTCCCTTGAATGAAATGAGGGGACTTCGTTAATTGATCAATGGTGACCCATATAACGGTAAAACCCTTCTTGGTCTTGGGTAATCCTACGATGAAATCTATGGTGATGTCCTCCCACTTCCATTGGGGAACACTTGGGGGTTGTAGGGGCCCTGGCGGCTGTTGTTTTGGTGCCTTGATTTGTTGGCAGGTCAAACATTTGAATTACATACTCTGCTATGTCTCGTTTCATTCCTCGTCACCAATAG